CTCTCAGTAGACAATAAGAGAGGTGAACTCAAATCAGTGGTCCTCAAATTCGTTTTAAATAGCAGAACCTTGCACTGAAAGAAACCTTACCCAGAAGACCAATATATTAAACAGATAAAGACAGAAAACTGCTTTAGTTGAATGCCCTACCACATTTCACAGTCAACATTGGACCAGAGTCCAAGGGACTCATGGGAAGAGTTGCATAAGGTCTTTCTTCCCTGTCATTTTACCTGGTCAGGGGGCTTAACACTTTTCATTGACATTGGACAAGATGATCTCTAATGTGGTTCATATTTGATTAGTAAAACTATAACATCTTGAGATTTATTACTGTACATGGTCTAGAAGAATAGCCTCCCAAATGAAGTGAATGAAATGATCCACTGGGGCTATGGAGAAAATCAGATTTATATTTATATCTATATAAAGAACAAAATAAGAAATTACACTTTATGGAGAAGTATGTGTAATTTTCAAGAGGGTCTTATGTCAGTCACAGACATGATCAACTATAATGCCCCCAAATATTTAAGTATTTTAAACACAATTTTAAAAGAATGTGAAAGTTTTTTTGGGGGGAAAAATCAACATCCCTACTCACTAATTTTACCCTACTGTTTTAATTTTTGTATATTTCTATCTAGTCCCTATCCACATGCAAATACACACTTTGGCATAGTTACCAACATGGTTCATACATAAGATTTTAAAATTTTATCCACAAAATTCAGCATGAATATTTCTACAAATGTCTACAATACAAGCTTCATAATAATTGTTTTTTTTTGTTTGTTTGTTTTTTGGACCGGTAAGGGGATCTCAACCCTCAGCTTGGTGTCGTCCGCACCACGCTCAGCCTGTGAGTGCACCAGCCATAATAGCTGATTTTAAACGGAGATTCCACAATGTATTAAAACAATTTCCTACTGTTGACTCTTCAGATCAGATTGACTCTCTTTTTTGTCACATACATAATTTTGTTATTTTGTTATAATTTGTTATTGTACAAATTATGTGATTCCTATCTGTGTACATAGCTTTTTTCTTGTACTAGATTTATCTTGAAGTAAAGATCACTGGGATTAGTGAACTAAAACGTATAGGGTTAGTGAAGCTAAAAGTATGAACTCTGATGGCTCTTGCTGTACACTGTCATGCTTTCCAACATGTTTTCACCAATTCACCTGCAGTCACTACCTGAACCTTGAACACAAGGAAAGAAGTTTGAAACATCTGCAAAAATAGTTTCCTCAGTGTCAATGTCATCAAACTTAACAGACGCACCCTCTTTACCATTTTCAAGAAAGATGAAAAAGTAACTATTACTGTGATATTTCACTGTACTAATAGAAGTTTTTTGGAGAACCTAGAGAATAACTAACTATATAACTATATAGTCTCAGAATAACTACAACATGATTTTAGGCCACAATCTGAATATTTTCTTTGCTTTTCTAGAAGCAGCAATATAGAGAATAAGTAAGTTCCTGCCTATAACGTATTTATAATTTAATAAGACCTAAATATGTGAAAGCCATTTAATAGCTTTGTGCTATAGAATAGATGTACCCCCAACCTCACTGAGGCTTAATCCCCACTGTTGAAGACAGGAAATTCTATTATGGTAATTGAAAGGTGGGGCCTTGAAGAGGTGATTGATTCCAGGATTCTAGGCCTGTGCCATAGTGAATGGATTAATAATGGTCAGGGGTGTGGTTCTGAGGGCTTTAAAAGAAGAGCACATTTCTCTCTCTCTTTCTGATCTGCCATTTCTGCCATGTGAGACCACTGGGTTACTGCTGCCATCACCAAGACTCTCACCAGATGTGTTCCCTGGACTTTGGACTTCCCAGCCTCTGAAACTGCAAGCAACAAATTTGATTTTCTTCTGAATTACCCAGGTTCCAGGTATTTTGTTTTAAGCAACAGAAACGGACTAATACACTTTGGCTACCAACAATAACTGAGTAAAATCCGAAGCTTATTTCATGATAATATACTCAGTATAATCACAGTTGATGGCATCTTTGTCAATCTGCTTTATTCCTCTGCTTTTATTCCACCTTCTTTAGGATTGAGCTTTGCTCCCAGGTCAACATAAATGTCAGAAAACTCCATTCTTATTAAAGCCAGCTTATAAGCAACATAAATAGCATCCTAGACAGTTACCTAGGTCTCTGTATTCTGATGATCTTGCACTAGACACAAACACACTTGACAAAACCTGAACTGCAGTGGTGCTGAACATCAGTAGGAACGGTATTTTAACAGATCAGATGATAATTTCAGAGTTATGCTTCTGTTGTGAACTTGTATTTTAGTTATCTAAAACCATTTTTAGATGACTAGGAGGCACATTCTTTGTTGAAAATAGTATAGTATTATTCTGCTTCTTATTGATATGGTTTTGTCATAAACTAAAAGTGACCCCATTTCTAAAATCCTCACTATTTTGATGTATGTTCTCCATTACATTGATTTTTTTTAACTTATTTTTTTATTTGACTTCTCAAAATACATTGTAGTTGATTTTCATGCCCCTTTACCCGTTCCTCTCCCCCTTCCCCTCCCCTTCCATGTCCTATCTGTTCCCTTGACTTAAATAGTTCAAGGAATTTTTGTGGTTATTCTGTCTTCTTCCCTGCCCCCACCCTTTATTTGTTCCATTACATTGATTTAAATCAAGTAAGCCAACTAATTCAGTTACTTAGAGGTTCATATTGTGATTAATTCACCCCGGGGCATGTTGGGGTATATTATTGTGGTGATGTAGCTAGGGTAGGTGATTAGAAATTCTGACTTCCTCATACCCTGATTTACTTCAACTTTGGAGTCAACGTCCAATGCTGGTTTCCATTTTGATATTGAAATCTGAGTTCAATAGCTCTATGAATATACATATAGCAATAAAATATTTCTTGGTAACTGCTGTAACCCGTATCAAAGTAACATAGGAATCAGGTTATACTAGGTTCCTTGGTTTTTTGCCCAAAAACTTGAGTCACAATTATTAACTAGTTTGGTATCTCATATTAAGAAAACTACTTTAGGGCCGACCCAGTTCAGATCCTGCATAGGGATGGCCAGGTGCGCTCACTGGCTGAGCGCAGTGCGGGCGACACCAAGGCAAGGGTTACGATCCCCTTTACCGGTCACAAAAAAAAAAAAAAAAAAAAAAAAAAAAAAAAAAAGACAGAAAGAAAACTACTTTAAACTACCCAAAACTTACCAATCATAATTTTTTCTTTTTCTCTTTTTTTGGAAGCTGGTATTATCAGTACCACGCTTTAACCAACTAAACTAACCAGCCAGCCCTCATTTTTATATATACTTTAAAGCAATTCTAGTAAAACTCCTGGAACCAGCTCAATAAGTAAATGTATTAGTTCAGGCTTATTTTATGCTATGAAAAATCAATGTAATCTAACCTGGGCCAGTGACGTATTAAGTTTATTAACCACTCATCTATGCAATTCTTTGTTCTAAATAGGTGGCAGTTAAAAAAAATTACATTAAAAGTTTTTAAAGCACACTTCAAAACACATTTGAGTTTTGCAATGTTACTTTAGGACAGCATCACCACTCAATTTTACAGATTGAGAAAACAAATAAGACACTACTAACACTAATAAAGTTCAAATGGCTTTCTCAAGGTAGTATGTGCTAATGGAACTGGAACTAGAAAAGAGACCTTTCTTTCCAGACTTTTTCTCGAAGGAAGGTAGGACGTGGACTAGAATGAACTGGTTTTAATCTTTATTAGCAACATTTTAAAGATTAAGATTGAACAGAAATAAACAACAATGTTTCAGATAACAGGAGTTAAATTTTGACCTTTACTATTGAGTGCTAAGAACTAGTAATGAAAGATTTTATCTCCCTTACACAAAAATGGGTCATCTGTTTAAACTCAGTTCAATGTAACAGACGATATAATGAAAACAGGGCCAGCTCCTGCCACCTGCTTTTTATAGGGGGGGGAAAAGGGTACCAAATTCTGAGCCCCTAGTTATACTACCTATTCTGTTTCTAACTTCATTTTATTTATTTTTATTTTTATTTATTTTTATTTATTTATTTTTTTTAAAAGATGACCGGTAAGGGGATCTTAACCCTTGACTTGGTGTTGTCAGCACCACGCTCACCCAGTGAGCTAACTGGCCATCCCTACATAGGGGATCCGAACCCGTGGCCCTGGTGTTATCAGCACCGCACTCTCCCGAGTGAGCCACGGGCCGGCCCACTAACTTCATTTTAAACAACATCCAGCCATTCTTTAGAGGAAATTCAATTCACTCAAGGGTTGGGTATTTTAGAATATCTATAAGGACAGTGATTCTCACTAAATCAGTCCCCACCATGAGCTGGCCAAGAGACCTGCAGCACACCCTAGCTCTACCCTGGGAGTCCATGTGGGATTTTTTTTTTTTTGGTGGATGAGAGTCTAGTCACATTTTGATCTAAATCTTAGTTAAATTTATTTACACTACAGTTTTAGCCCTTTCAAATGACTTAAAATTACACCAACCTATATTTAATACTTTTTGAAAATTTGCCTCTCCAGTATACTAATATAATTTATATTCAGAGGGACGGAACTAACATGAATTACCTTCAGTAACATTACATTTGTACAGATTATTTCCTGCTTAATAAGCATCTTATTTGATACATATTAATCAAGAAATTATATGGAAAGCATCTCATTTGATACATATTAATCAAGAAATTATATGGAAAGCATGACTTTTAAAATAACAACTGAGGTGACACTTCAACATTATAAGAAGATATTTACGCTTTATATATATTTGTGGGGTACTTTTGTATTTTTTGGAAATAAACCAACATTTTTCCACATTTACTCATTTGGCTGTACTGTGTTTTTGATACTTGAAGGTGTTCACACTCGTCAAATGAAATGAAATGGAAGCTATTCATATGTATTTTTTAAAAAACAGAATATATTTTTATAGAAGAAACGTGTATGTCCTCACCTGAGGCTGCTGTGGCATTTGTAGGGGTTGAAGCAGCTCCTTGTATCCTAGCATGAGGAGGAATAAGGATGGTAGCCAGTGGTGGGTTACTTGAAAGTTCTAGAGAAGATAAGATATAAATATTAGTGCCCACTCTTAACTTTGCATGCAACATCACGTTATTGGTAAAAATAAACATAAGACACTACATTAAAACACCAGTTTAACAGAAGAAGGAAAAAACAAACAAACAAAAAAAAAACAAAGACGATAAACCTGTATGTCAAACTAAATCAATGACCTAGTAATCGAGTTGAAGAGAAAGCCCAGATAAATGTTGTAATACATAACAAAGGCACTATCTAAAATTAGGATATTTCTAATAACTAAATATATCTGAGGGAAAGATGGTGGCCAAAAATTTAAGAGTAAGCATATTAATAAGATGTTTTCACCACAAAGAAATGATAAATGCATGAGGTGATGGTTACATTAACTACTCTGACCCGATTTTACACCACATATATGTATCAAAACATCAGATTTTACCCCATTAGCATGTACAATTACAATTTATCAATTAAAACTTAAAAAAGAGATGTTTCCATCTTTCATTAACTTAAATCTATTAGGTTTTGCCATCCTACTCTGGCAGTATTTGACCACAGGAATTGAGGGTGATGGTGTCACGGCAAAGAGAATACGTGTGCAGTGTGTGTGTGTCTGTATGAATATGCATGTACAGCTGGATGTATAGACCAACCTACCCGATTGTTTATGAGCCAGTGGAGGATAAGACTTAATCTAGACACTAGTGAAAACAAGATTTAAGAAACTCCTGTTTAAAGTCTCATTGCTTTTATTAAAAATAAAAATTTTGGGCCGGCCTGGTGGCGCACTGCTACAGTGCGCCGCTTGGGAGCACGGCGGCGCTCCCGCCGAGGGTTCGGATCCCGCATACAGACTGGTTCTCGCTCACTGGCTGAGTGAGGGGCGGGCGCAGCGCCGAGGGGTGCGATCCTGTTGCCGGTCCCGGTCCGGTACGGGTGCGACACTGAGGGTTGCGGTCCGTTGCCGGACACGGGGGAAAAAAAAAAAAAAATAAAATAAAATAAATAATAAATAAATAAATAAAAATAAAAATTTTGGGCCGGCCTGGTGGCGCACTGCTACAGTGCGCCGCTTGGGAGCACGGCGGCGCTCCCGCCGAGGGTTCGGATCCCGCATACAGACTGGTTCTCGCTCACTGGCTGAGTGAGGGGCGGGCGCAGCGCCGAGGGGTGCGATCCTGTTGCCGGTCCCGGTCCGGTACGGGTGCGACACTGAGGGTTGCGGTCCGTTGCCGGACACGGGGGAAAAAAAAAAGACAAAAAATAAAATAAAATAAAATAAATAATAAATAAATAAATAAAAATAAAAATTTCCTTATTCAATTCTATTTTTAACTCAGTAAGATTATTTGTTACTTATTAAAAGTTTGAAATAGGCTTTTTAGCTGCATGTGGGAAGATTATCTCTGTCAACTATATACAGACTGGCTTTCTTTAAAGAATCAAGTTCTGTACAGGAGCCTTAAGAAATTATTTTAAGATAATATTGTATCTAATGATGTAAACAGATGGCAAGTAGTGGTGGTGAGCTCATATATATAAGCATCTGGTGTTAGCTTTAGATAATGTGACTGTTCTCCCAGTCTGCCTGGGATAATCCCAGTTTATGCTTGTTATTCCAGCATTTAACCTGTGAGTGCTCATTTTCACTATAGTGTCAAAGTTTGACGGAATTATTATATGACCATACTAGCTACAAGAAGACATTATCCTCTGAGCTACAGCATAAATTTTAACGATTCACAGATATGGTATTGACTAAAAAAAGTTGGGAAGTAGTGGTTATTTTTTATTAAGGTAAAATTCACATAAAATAAAATTAACCATTTTACAGTATACAATTCAGTGGCATTAAGTAAACTCAAAATGTTGTACCATTATCACCTCTATCTAGCTCCAAAACAATTTCATCACCCAAAAGGGAAACCCCAAACCCATTAAACAGTCACTCCCTATTAACTCCTCCCTCTAAGCCCCTAGCATGGGAAATAGTGTTTTAATGCAATAGTTTTAAAATGTTCTCTGGAGCAGAGCCTCTGTCAATATTGATTTATTCAATGTAGTACCGAAATAAATTTTGTACTAAATTAGATACTAAATGATACCATAATTCTGGTAAAGAAAAGCAATAAACTGATGCCAAGATTTATGATAGGCTTAAAACTGAGAAGACTATTTATTATCTTTTTCCTTTAAGTCCCGCTCATCAAATAATAGTCTTCCCTGGGAAGACAGTTGGAAAACCACTGCCCTAATTATCAGGTTCTAAGAGATGATGTTTTCTAACAATCAGATTTAGTAGCTGTGTTGGTTCTCACTGAGAAACAGGAAGATTCTATGCCACTTTATTTCAAATCAGTCCTATTTTAACCCACAATTTTATACCCAGGAAAGCAAGAGAATTCCTGGTAACTGCCATGACTAATGACTTTACAGTTCTAGGAATAAAAAAAGCATTTCTACAATACCTGATAGTTACTCCTCATTTACCTTAAAGAAATTCAGATTTACCATCTCAACTAAAATTAAAATCTCCTAAAATAGAAAGGCTTCTTTAATATCCATCCAACCATCTATCTACCTATCCCCATATCCACCCACCTAACAATACTGAGCATTAAACAATGTGTTAGGTACCAGGAAAAAGAGGTAAAAGACAATTGTCTTTGATCAACAGAAACAGAAATGGGAAACTGAACACCCAAGTTGGCAAGAAAAGCATTCAGCCTATTTAGGATAGGAGCACTTTCCAATTAAAAGATCTCTGACCATGTGCCCAACATCTAATCGCTTTCCTTATAGCCCATGCTGCTAATTTTTTCCCACTTGTTTACTCTTTCTTATCAGATCACTCATCCTTATGTGTTTCTGCATGCCCAGTTGAGGGCCATGGTGGTTTTATGTCTTAGTCTGGGTAAGGGTATGTATAAAGAAAGCAATCCTCTTTTCTTTATGTAGCAGACTGTCATTTTGGTCTTGAATAGGGAGAGAGGGGTAACTAATGAAGGGGAAGAGAGGAAAAAGTAAATAAGAAAAGGAAGCCACCAGGATCCTAGAGACATGGGTGTGTTCATGTGTGAACTTTTTTAAGTCTAACACCATAAATGTTAAGAATTCTAAAATGGGCAATCACTCCTAGTTCTACATGCCTCCAACTTCTATATCCAAATGTCCTTCTTCTCTTCCTTAACTATAGATATTCTTTAAGATCCATTGCTTCCATCTGTTTCCTCATCTCTACTTCTGAGAGCTTCTTAACTGTCATAGTTTTTTCCCTCTTGCGCTCTTATTCTTTCCACTACAAGTCTGTACCTTTTATGGGGACAGACTATGGGCGCTTCTCTGGGGCTGTACAAACATACGAAACAACTTATCCCCTGATATATTCCAGCCATGGAATAGGCAATGAATTGGTAAATAAGAATATATTGATCTCTGTTGGGCTCTCCTGCTTCCACCTGCTTCAGCTATGTCCAACCTCTGAAAACGTATGAAAGAGAAAAGGGAGAGATGGAGGTGTATCAAGGTTTGTCCTGTTTCCAATGTCTGAATGAAGATAATATTGTCACTTAGGGGGTCCTAGAAAACTGAAGACCCAGTGCTAGAAAAATGAGAGGTCTGACATTACCCTGAGTTATGGATTTAGGAGACCAGAAGGATCTCAAAGTTTTGTCCCATATCTATTCATCTCTCTTCTTTCTCTAGCTGATCATGGAACTACTTCTTGTGTTTATATGAAAGGAATACTAATTACCATTTATGGCTAATTACTCCATGGCACAGTAGCAAACATCAAATTGCAGTTTGCTTTGTTGTAAGCTTTACTTTAATACAACACTATTCAAGGGTAATTCAAAGTTTGTGGAGAAGTGTAATTAAAAGATAATGCAAATCTTTCCATGAACTTTTTGAAGTACCCTCATATTTTACCCAAGTGTTTAATCTTCATAGTTCTGTTCATATGGCACGTTTACTTTACTAATTAAAACAGTAACAACAACTAGAAGGAAAACTAGAAATGCCCGATAAATACTGGTTGCATGAATTAATGAATACTGTGTTTATTTAAAATGGTACATGTTACTCATTCAAACATTCTTTGAGGGCCAGCCCGGTGGCACACTGGAGAGTGTGCCGCTTGGGAGCGCAGCGGCGCTCCCACCGAGGGTTCAGATCCCATGTGGAGACTGGTTCCCGCTCACTGGTTGAGCGCGGTGCGGGCGCAACACCGAGGGTTGCGATCCTGTTGCCGGTCCCCGGTGTGGGCGCGACAACGAGGGTTGCGATCCTGTTGCCGGTCAGTAAAAAAGACAAAAAGGAAAAAAAAAAAAAAAAAAACATTCTTTGAGTACCTTCTATATGTGGATTAGGGATTATCCTAACAGATGTCAATGAAAATTTATTGTGATAGGGGCCGGCCCGTGGCTCACTTGGGAGAATGTGGTGCTGACAGCACCAGGGCTGCGGGTTTGGATCCCTATATAGGGATGGTTGGTTCGCTCACTTGGGAGAGCGTGGTACTGACAACACCAAGTCAAGGGTTAAGAAGATCCCTTTACTGGTCATCTTTAAAAAAAAAAAAAAAAATTATTGTGAAGATGGAGGAAGGCTCTATACTGTCTACAGCAGAAGCTCACTAATCCCCCGCAAACTTGTCCCCCAACAATGTTTCCATCTCCGGATTCTCTCTAGCTATACAACCAACTAGGGGATTGGTTCTCCTTCTTCAATCCCTTGAAATACCCAGTTTTATTCTGATCATCCATTAATTACTATTAAGCTGTAATGTTGCATCTGCACAACAGTTACATCTTTGCCTTAGAAAACAATATCACCATTTGGAAACAGTGCTCTAAAATCAGAATATAGAGTATCAAATAGAATGACACTAAATAACACCTCTTCCCTGGACAGCTGTGTGCTTATACAGAAACACTATTCAAGAACAACAGTGATTAGAAGGACGGAAAGAAAGCATTACTATGTGATCACAGCCCAGTTTCAGAATGGCAGCTACACATGGCATATTCAAACCTAAAAACAAAACAAAACAAAACAAATGCAGGTGGGCATATTTCAAAATGATGGCACTGTCAGTTTAATACATTTAGTATGATGAAAAATGATTCCATGGATATATTTACAGGGTTGACTTGAATAGGTACAAAGATTCATGTACCTCGTTTTCACTGATATTCACAGCACCAAATAAACACTCTGATAGCCACTGAAACTGCACACTATGTCTACACACCCAACGTCCATATATGTACATGTACTCTTCAAACTCTCAAAAACATATGTACACTCAGACACACACAGAACCATATTTATATTTGATATACAGGCCAAATACAACATTTTAAAATACCAAAATAAAACTTCAGTCTTTTAAAAATCCTTATAAGTATTAGATATATATGGATAAAGTTTGAACTAAATTATTTTCTCTTCTTTAAACTAAGCCTTTTATTTACTTTAAAAAGGCATGTGCCAAAGGTGAAGTATTATAACAATTTGGGAGGTTTCTAAGGACATTATAGTTAGTTCATTCTATGAGCTAACAGTATAAAAACTGCCCACTCATAAAAGTCCTTCCAATATTTTCAAGACCATATTCTAAAATCTAAGCCAATTTATTTTCATGTTAATCTGTCTTAAGAATGTAATTAGAAGGTAGATAAACAGCACTTATCAGGTCCTGATTCATGATACTGAAATAAGATTAGGACCACAATGAGATATTACTTCACACCCACCAGGATGGCTATTTTTTTTAAAAAGTAAAATAACAAGTGTTGGCAAGGATGTGGAAAAATTAGAATCTTGTCTATCACTAGTAGGGATGTAAAATGTTCAGCCACCATGGAAAATAGTTTGGTGGTTCCTCAAATAGTTAAACACAGAATTACCATGTGATTCAGTAATACCCAAAAGAATCAAAAACAAGTATTCAAACAAATACTTTTATATGAATGGTCCTAGCAGCACTATTCGCAATAGCCAAAAGGTAGAAACAACCCAAATGTCCATCAACAGATGAGTGATAAGCAAAATGTAGTATATTCACACAATGGGACATTGTTCAGCCATAAAAAGGAATGGGTACTGATATATGCTACGTGTCTAAACCTTGAAAACTTTATGTGAAAAGAGTGAAAGAAGCCAGACATAAAAGGTCACATATTGTACGATTCCATTTATACTAGAAATATGCAGAATAGGTAAATCCATAGAGACAGATAATAAACTGGTGGTTGCCAGGAGCTGGGAGGGTTAATGGGACAGGGTTTTCTTTAGGAGCAATAAACATGTTTTGGAATTTAATAAAGGGGGCAGCTGCGCAACATTGCAAATATACTAAATGCCACTGACTTGTTTACTTTAAAATGTTTAATCACGTTAGGTGAATTTCACCTTGGTTTTTAAAAAAGCTTAGAAATTTACAGAACAACAAATTTAGTTTTTTTAAATTTTATTTTCTTTAGAAATAATGGAAAATTTTAGCTGGTGACTAATGAATCAAATGTAATTATTTAAAAAAATGGCACATGTGAACAAAGGAATTGAACTTTTTTGTGATCAACACATACATGTGCACGCATGCACACACTGAAGAGTATGTACCAAATATGCCTGAATATAAGGAAACTTATTCTCCAAAATCTATACATCATAAGCATGTTGTATTTGATTTTACCAAGTCACATAGCTGACAAAGGGCTTTTTCGATTAGTTTATTTTGAACTACAAAGTACTCTTTGGAAAATACACTTATTATGAAAAAACCTCAATCAATACTGGTTTATGAAACTTCAATGTCACCTCACAGAAGAGGTAAAAAAGGAGGCAAAGAAATTTAACGTTAACTTAGTGTTCCTGATGTTAAGAATCTACACTTGCAAGGGCTGGATGTCACTGTATATAAGCCTTTTAGAGATCATGTTAAAAAGGAATCCAGAAGGCTCGCCGGTTAGCTCAGGTGCTTAGAGCAAAATGTTATAACATCAAGGTCAAGGGTTTGGATCCCCTCATTGGCCAGCTGCCCCTCAAAAAGCAATCCACCATATTGTATAGATAATAAACATATACCTATGTTACAAAAGAAAATAAAAGTTGTTATGTTATGTAAGTGAGTACGTGCAGACTTTCCGATAGTGTCCTCATAAGAGCGGGTTCAAAAAGTGCTTCATAACAAAAAATTTAGGTGAATGCAACCTAAAAATCTCTGACAGATGGTTCAAAAAGTAGCTTTATTATTACAGTCACAAATGTGAAAGATGCATATAGAGTTTGAATAAAATTGTTTTATAAGATTTGAAATGTAAAAAAAGCAAAATTCCTAAAATAAGATATAACCGTATAACATAATTTTTAAAATATTTAAATTAAAAAATTCATTTGAGATCTTAATTAATGCAAAAACAGGGCATCATTTATATTCGAGGATTATCAATATATGTCTTAGAAAAGAGATTGAAGAGCTATACTATAGAAATGCTAAAGAGTGACTATTTTGAATGCTAAAAGTGATTACTTTGGAGTTGTAATTTTAATTTTCTCTATACTTCCTTTGTATTTTTAACGTTTTCTTCAGTCTACATGTATCACTTTTGATTAAAACAAAAGCAATAAGAATTAAAAATAAAATTTATTTTCTCAAGAGGTCTAAACTTATTTGACATGGAATCACACAATTTTTGCTGTGGAAAAGGCCAAGTTTCCCAGTTTAACCTTCTGCTAAACTGGAGTAATCCTACACACAGTATCTGACATTATCTAGCTTTTTCCTGAACACTTCCAGGTACAGAGATCAACATTTTGAAAACAATTTGCTCCACTATTAAACAGTTGAAAATTTCTTCACTGACTCATCAATAATCTTATTCAGTGCCAAGTCTCTCTTTGTGCTAGTAAGTCTAAATACATATCGCTCTCTAATTTTTTGCTGTTTTAAATTTTGCAATTTGGACAAAGAATATGTTTACTCCTTTTATTGAAAGTCGGTCACTAGGGCATTTTTAGACACCTATTACCAGTACCTTAAGTCTTCTCTTTTCCAGGCTCTATACTCAGTTCTGCTTCTTTATATACTCTATCCCTCATTCACTAATACTTTTCTTAAAATGGGGCAGCCAGGACACAAAACAAATTGTTTATCATCAACTTTATATAGTCAGAATTAACAGTCCCAGGATATCTGGACATTCTTCTATTTCTAATGTGGTGTAAGACTGCATCAGCATTGCTAGCAGTTACATAATATTGACAGCTTAAGTTTATAGTCACCTAAACCATCCAGGTAGTATATTTTACTATTAACTCAGGTCTTCCACACGTACTGCTTATGCCATGCATCTTTCTACATTCAATTTTAGAAAAATTTAAACTGGGGAAAAAACACTCACTTTAGAATAAAAGAAATATATCTCTTTCTTGGCTGTGGAAAGCTTTCCATCTCCCTTCTATATTTTCTAACCTGATTACACTTATTAATATATCAACTATTTATTTCTTGTTTTATCTATAGCAAATTTTATACTTTTTATGTTCAGTTTAAGAAGACAATCACATCAGAGGGAATGTGGTTGACTGAAAGAATCGCTTAGGGTCTAAGTCAGGAGAAAGGAAACGTGAACACAGAAATATTGAAAAAATAATGACTATCCCTACCGTAGGTCTTTCAGAAGCCACCAATGCACAAACTCAGTTTTCCTTTCAATGCTTTCTCAGTAGCAGCAATGGTGCCAAGTCCAAGAGGGGATGGGAATTTCTCTGTCTACATACCTTGCATAAGTTCTTAGAAAGGGTTTATAAGACTCTAATTCTCCCCCTGTTTGTAAGATAACTGAATTTATACAAATATAGCACCAATTTATTTCCAGGTTTAAAGAACTTGATATAAATTCTTGGAAAGCATGAAACGGTAATACAGTTGGCCTTCCATATCCATGGGTTCCTGCATCTGTAAATTCAACCAACTGCAGATGGAAAATATTAAAAAAAAGAATGTCTGTACTAAACACGTACAGACTTTTTTTCTTGTTATTATTCCCTAAGCAATAAAGAAGAACAATATTTACAGAGTACTAGCTATCATAAATAACCTAAATGGGTTAAAGTGTACAGTAGGATGTGCATAGATTGATAATATGCAAATACTACACTGTTTTATATCAGGGACTTGAGCATCCATGGATTTTGGTAACTGTGGAAGGCCCTAGAACCAGTCCCCCACAGATACCAAGAGATGACTGTACTTGAAGTTTCAGATTCAAACCTAAAGGTTAAATTGTACATTAGTTTTATTAGTGAAAAATATCACTCACTGAAATCTCTATAGTTTCTCACGTGCCAACAAGATTTACTGTAATCTGTGAAAAATCAGAGAAGCTATGCCATTTGAAAAATGTTATCTGCCACTATTTTGTTTGAAACCATACAAGCAGTGGCCTAATAGGTTAGAAAGAATGCTTCCTGCCTCCTTAAGGACTTAATATATCCTTTCTTGTCCTCCACAGATTTTAATTAACAGAGTGTCATTTACTCCACATCCAGTGCATAGCTTTCCCAGAAATGGTAAAACAGCTAAGTGTTTGGAATTACCTTGAGTGGTGAAGTTGAAGAGTGCAGGTGTGTCTCGCCCATTTGGTAGTTTGACACTGGGGTCCCGTAATTCATCAAAAAACGAATGTGCACAAGCTTCCAGTGGTGTCAATCGGGCAGTTGGTGTGTATTCCAGCAGACGGCTACACAGTGCAATTGCCTCTGGTGGAGTTCGAGGACGGAAGACCTGCAGTACAAAAAAAAGGAAAGAACAATTAATGTTGTATTATAAGAATCTAAGCAAATTAATTTCTGAGTATTGAATTAATTCCCACCATGTACTAAAACATGGTTGCACTGGGGAAAGGAGCCTTCTAAGATGAAGAGTTAACTGCACATAATTCACCACACTGCGGTGAACTGCTAAATAGAGACTACATAAGAAAAGTTCAGAGAAAAATCTACATATGCTAATCATAAAAGTACAATCAAACATGCATACAAAATATGACGAACGCATGAGAAAGGCTATGTTCTGCAGAAAACCACAACTAGAAGAATATTAAAAAAATTTAAAGTTTTGACTGTAGAGGCAGTAAATAACAGATTGCCTCTTTGCATTATTTTTAGCAGAACAATTGTCAGTAGTGGGCAGCACTGTTCATATTTGGCAATCAATATCTTAAAAAAAAAAAAAAAGAAAAGCTATTTACTCTAGGTATATTCACGTGAATAATTTGGTATTATCTCCTCAATAAACAGAGCCTATCATTATTTGAAGAAATTCTTGAATACCTGTCCAACATTGTTGCTGCATGTAGCTATTCTCATGAATGTGGCCAGACTACCCTTGTTTAAATAAATATTCTAGTGTTTTAATCAGGGAAAGAAAAGAGTATTTTTCATTAAGAGCCATTAAGTCACAGAAAAAGTCAACTGAAGGATATATTGAAATAAAATGCAATTAAACTAATTCACTTAAAGGATTAGACAGCTTTCTACACATATATGTCTTTAACAAAACATAAAACTATAGGGGCCGGCCCGGTGGTGCACTGGATAGTGCGCCGCTTGGGAAGCGCGGCGGCGCTCCCGCCCGAGGGTTCGGATCCCACATACAGACCGGTTCCCGCTCACTGGCTGAGCGAGGCGCAGGAGCAACACCGAGGGTTGCGATCCCGTTGCCGGTCCCCGGTCCGGTACGGGGGCAACACTGAGGGTTGCGATCCGTTGCCAGACATGGAAAAAGACAAAAGACCAAAAAAAAAAAAAACATAAAACTATAAAAATATACTTCGTTTTAAACTATGGCTAGTTAAACAATAAAAACAGAAGGGAAGAAATAGAAATGAACATAAACAGATGGACAAAAAGCCTTTGAAACTAAAGAAAAACGAAATATATCCCTTGCAAGGAAGAGAGCATACAATCAAATAAAAGGTGTTGTGGTGGAGGTAGACAGACATATAAAGAGAAGCAGTCATGTAAAAAATAGAAATAGAAGGAAACATACCCATACGTGAGGAAGGACATGCAGATTGTAACAAGGCATGGAGAAGCCTGGGAGGCTAAGATTTCCTAATAAGAATGGCTCTTGTAACATCTGGCTATTCACTTAGGCTGAAGTTAAAAGAACTAGTTACACCTACAGAGCTCATTAGATTATCAAGACTATGAGTACTTTCTACAGTAAAAACAGGGTTTTTTTGCTTTTGTTTTTACACATAGTTTATTATTGAAAAAGATATTTTATATGGAAATTGAGAAACTGGGTTGAGTACGATCTTAGAATTTATTTCAGAATCTTAAAGGCCTTATGTCAATTTATTGGCTAGTTAGAAAGCCCTTTGTAAGGACAAAAACTGCTTCATCTTTATTTTTTTGAGTACTCTGACTTGCCTCAGTCAAGAGAAACTTAAAGTTAGTGCTTTATTTTAAATGCTTAGATTGTATGCTATTCTTGGTAATTTCCCCCTCTCTTGCTCCCAAGGTCCATAATCAAATCCAGAATGTAAAAAGAAAATAATCAGTAGCAAAAGTCAGAAAAGTTTTTATAAAAATATAAAACACTACTCACATATTTTATATTTCAGGGCAGTTTGCATCTATTTGACAGTGTATGGATTTATTTTGCCAGCTAATCCAAAAATCTTTTGCACCAATATGGTAGCACATGAGCAGAATTATAAGTAGCACCAAAAGTAGAAATAAGTATCTCCTGCTAACATTCAAATGTAGGGTAGCTGGACAGTGAGTCATTTAAATAAAAAAATTTCATGTTACATTAATGAAGATTTTGTGGGGTCAAAACCAGTATCTCCCAGAGTTCAGATTTCTGACCATAATACAGGGTGTGGCTGCATGCAACTTCCAAAAATTACAAGCCAAACGAGAAACTGGCTCTTCTGAATTATCTTCTGTGTCTAAAGAAAAGGAAACCAACAACTACTGAAATTTGACTTTTAATAAGAAAATTTCTGCTACCACTTCATTCCTTACTCATTGAAATTGCTTAACACTCAGAACCTTTGGTTTCATGGATCTTTACCAATATTTATACTTGTAATAATAATAATTTTAACCCCCCTCAACTTCAGCCTAGATGTCTATTAATCATCCAGAAGACTGACAATCTAAATATACCATAAGCAAAACCTATACCACACAATGAATGAAAACAGAAATCATAACTACTACACTGTTTTTACTGTTACATTTCAAGAATGAACAATTGTTTAGCCTTTCAAAAAAACTTTCCCCCGAGTTTTATAGACCTGCCCTGAAATTTTGGGAAAAAAAATTAAGTACATACCCGCACTCCTGAGGTGAAATGTCCTGTTCCTGACGAATCCTAAAGATGATAATGCAGTGAAATAATCCAAACAGGGGAAGTCAATCCAAAAGAGAATAGTCAAGCAAGGAAAAATATAGCCAATGTTATAAGAAACATGGTGTGGGGGGACACAGAAAATGTTTATACAGTTATAAACTTTAAACATCAGTCTCCACAGTAGCAAGCCCAAGTTTAAAAATTATTTCACCACAGTGTATGCAAAAAAAATTTTTTGATTGCGCAATGGTGAGGCACAGTAAAGAAACATTTAAATTTTAGTTTATTATGTTCCAATGCCAGTGAGTTTATTAAAAAAATACAAAACCAAAAAAAGTTAAAATCAAAATGAAATCTAGAAGTAAACTTCCCAAAGTAAAGTGGTCTTCTATGACCTGGATTCATCATCCATGAACATGGCTGGAAGGGGGGACACTACCCTGCTTTTAAGGATAGAAGTTCCCAATATGCTAATTTTTCTCTACTGTGTTCCAGTTACACAGCATAAACATTTTATTTTCTAAATTTTTAGTGATGAGAGGAAAGTAATAAATATATTACTACAGATTTCAAGCCAGAGATTTTCAATTAATGTGAGCTAAGAAGGATCAGGCCACCGCGGATTATTCTCCATTTTGGATTGACTTCCCTGCTAAAAGATTATTTGCTGACATTCTCATTATTTTAGGACTCTTCAAAAAATTGGCATATTACCTCAGGAGTGCGGGTATAAACTTACTTTTTCTATTGTGGGCTTTGCCCCCTCATACCCTTGCACCCATTACTTAGGAAAAATAAATATAGAACATTCTTTCCTTTTTGGAAAAACTCACTGAAAAAAAAATCCTACATCCTTGAGCACTACAAATTCAACACAGTTCCATCTGCAAATATGCCCAATTCACCCACCAAAAGCTAAACAAAAATATATACAATAAACAATACAACTAAGGGACAGTCACAGTTACAGGTGACATGCGTAGTAATGTACACCAACACCTAGGCACAACGGAGCCAAGTATGCAAGGGAGGTGGTAGGGTCTATTATGTCTAGGTATTGAGAACAAAAAATGGTAGAACTCACCAGCAGCTGTGAACTCCCTTGACTATTCTAAGAGAATTTAATATTCTTTTAGGATAGTTTCCAGTGGGGGAATTAAATATTTTGCAAAAATAAATAATCCGCGGATTACTTTTAGTCTGCAGACTAAAATTTAGTACACAGTTTAAATTACGGCCCATCATAATAACAACGTCTCATGAACTAAAACACAACCAGGTGGACAAAAATAGAAAACCAGACTAAAAGAACTACGAGCACAGAATAAGACTCAACTGGGCCAACTAACAATTAGTGCGCAGACTAAATATGGCCAGCCAAGTATGCAGCAAGGCCATGGAGATCCCAAAACATCCCTTTAAAAACTAAAAATGAAAGTAAATAAAACAAAACAGAACAAAACAAAACAAAGCAAAAGAAAGAAAAAAAAAGAAGAAAGAAAAGAAAAAGAACAAAGGAAAAGAGAAAGGAAAAACTGAAAAGAACCAAAACACTGACATGAACTTTTAAAGTGATTCAAGTACTACCTCACCTATGCAGCAACTCATTTTCTTTAATTAAAACAAACATCAACTCTCATCACAAATACTAGTCCACAGAAGAAACAGAAAAAAATCATTGTTTCAAAAAGAAAGTCTCTGTGGTATTGAACAAATGCAAACAAGTCCTTAAAATAATTAGTCAAAATAAATTTGCATTTGGATAACTCAAATATGATAGAGGCATTTTCACCCTACCTAGAATAGACTTTGGCCATCAAATTTCAACCTGGAGCTAAATTGTTATGACTGAGTTGCAAGCCCTTTAAAATTATAATTTATAAACAACGACACACACCACATCAAGGCCGATGGTTAAGTTGTTTCTCACAGGATCAACTCTCAGGAATTCTACTGTATTAAGTAACCAACCACAGCAATATAAAAGTGCCTATTTTTTTATGGCTATGGACAATGACAATTAACCTAAGAGAACATAGAACAAGTGCTGTGCCTGTTCCAAAGAGCTACTCCTTGCTAGTTTTCATTACGATAAATGTACAATGCTGACACTATGTTTTGGTCATGCACAAAATATATGCAACCAGTTCTGAAAACTGATAAACCATGAAAATTCTTAAAGAGCAACCCTAATATTGGCTTGCCAGTAATCTATTAATTATCTAAAATTGTCCGCAATTTGTAAACCTAAATACAGGATTAAAAGTGAGACAATGCCATACATTTGTTGAATAGTTAATTGTGTTAATTAACTAAGAAAAAAATGTGCACTTAAGCGCTCATATTTAGTATATAATTCGATAATTAGTCACTACTATTTTTTAAAACATTCTTTGGGGGTGTTTAACACGCTTTTA